CAAATTCAGCCTGATAAAAAGGTTGGAGGCGTTTGCGTCTCCAGCCAGTAATATGCAAGTTATGTAGCACAACTCAGAAGTGTGCAGACTCGGTCGCGTTGACATAATGCCGATAATTAGGATTTAGTCCTTGGCCAAATGTTAGAAAAGTCCCTATCTTTTAGGATCTCTCAGCAGCAGTAAAAGCGTTATCCAGTAATTGGTACGACAACTCCCACCCTCCAGAGATTCTTGGATTATCTCCTTTCTACCATGACATATGCCCCATGAATAAAACGCGTTTTAAATAAAAGAATAAAATAAGTTGTCATCCATACATACTTGTTCTATCTGACTTCCAACTTTTAAAATGTCACTCAAAGAAGTCAGGCGCTTTAAATATGCACTCATTACCCTTGCGTCGTGTTTTGACAGGCCTAGACTACGACGCTAAGAAACTGGACATTATGACGTTTACATACTCATGAATACCTTCCGTACTTAGAGTTACTTTGGGTGATTGTTCAGTCTTTTCATGTTGGAACCAGGCTGGGTCAATGTTTTCCTCCATGTCCGATCCAAACACATCAAAGAAATCGCCGAGGTCAAACGTAACAGTTTGACATGTTTATTTACTTTTATAAGGGTTAACGAGTGCAAAATATTCGGTGAACTGGCTCTAGAAGTGGATATTGAAAATATTTCACTTTTAATTTTTTTAGTAACAGCCAATCAGAAACGAACATACTTAAATGTCATGGAAGAATTAAAGCATTACTGACGCATGAAAGCCTAAACTGTGAAGGAAGACCTAAAATAAGCATTGACAGCGAAAAACGGCGTGTCTGCTGATGAGGTTGTCACATTTCGAGTTGAAACGATCAGTTTCCACGATCTTGCTTCGACCAGGGATCATCTACAACATTTTATATAGTCTCCTGCTTCGACACACAGACGGGTGCCCTCGCTTAACGCTCAGCTGCAATAAATAGAGACGTGTCAAGTTATTACAGAAAAATCTTGAAATTTGTAGACCCGTCTGCCAAATGGCAAAACCTAATCTACTTGCAAAATAATGAAAATGCGAGGGAAAACTTACCATTACTCTTGCGCCACGAGTTCTCCTTTCATTGTCCAGCGAGGAAATGGAGTTGGTTTTGGATAGCGCCGTGAACCCACTCACATAATAAATACAGATAAGCAAGATGCATGATGTGTGCCTGTGATGCAACTGTAAATACTATTTTTGAATATTTGCTTCTATTTGTGCTCACATATATTTTTGAACTTCATGTGCATACGATGTGATAATAGAGCTTCCCAGTCATTGGCTATTGAATAGATTGGTTCATGCATTATGTTAAATTTGATATCACGTAGTGTACTGAATACTAGCATTTATCTCTTATGACTGACTGACTGAGTTTGGTTTTACGCCGCTTTTAGCAATATTCCAGCAATATCACGGCGGGGGACACCAGAAATGGGCTTCACACATTATCTCTGAAGAAGGAGTTACGTTTGTTTTATTCATCAACAACTTATGGTTTATATGTAGAGAGGGGCGGTTGGGTAGCCTAGTGGTTAAAGTGTTCGCTCGTCACGCCCAAGGCCCGGGTTCGATTCCCCACATGGGTACAATGTGTGAAGCCCATTTCTGGTGTCCCCCGCCATGATGAATGTGTATTATGATTTTCAAGGAATAGTATTCATTTCTCGACCTGGTTATGTTTTTGACATGACTATATCTTACATCCAGTACCCTGGGATGGTGATCTACCTCTGGTTATTGGCGATCTATAGCCCATTTTTATACTGTCTTGTCCTTATTTGAAGTCCAATTTTAGAGAGATATGCTAGTTTTAGTTTTAATACTGTAATATTCTATTTGGTTTTACTGTCCTTCGTTGACAGTTTTGTTATAATTTACATGTATTATTGGTCAATTTGAAACCTGTTTTAGTCACGATATGGCTGAAATATTGCCGATGTGATTGTAAATTGTAACTCACTCACTCACTCACATCCAACAATATTGTGAATAGTTCGCCCTCTCATTCTCAGTCGACTAACGGGATCGGGTGGTCAGACTCGCTGACTTGATTGACACACGTGGTCGTATCCAAACTGCGTAGATCGATGGGCATGGACTGATCACTGGATTGTCTGGTCCAGACTCGATTATATACAGACCACCGTCATATTGCTGGAATATTGCTGAGACCGTTAAAAAAAAGAAAACAACCAATCGAGTACAGTCAGACCTTTGGTATAACATTTGACAGTTGGCTTGAAGTCACGTGTATACAGTTCGTCTAAATATGTTTATTTTTATTAACAGACGGAAAACAACAACAACAATAACAACAACAACATCATTATCATCAACTACAACAAAACAATATTCAGAATACATTATCAGTTCAACTAAAACCAAGTACAGTACAAGGATGGAAAATAGGATGCTCTATGTTAAGATGGTACTAAGAGTGTGTACTGCAAGATGTACTCGATCAACACGTACAGATATTAACAGTAGGTGGAATACCATTTGAATCAAGGCAATAAATAGAAAACGCATGGGATAATTGAGTGAGTGAGTTGAACTGTAACGTCACATTCGAGCAATATCGCGAAGTACAGCATGACAACTGGATTGTCACAGAGTATACTTGAAACATGTTTCTGGCCATTATGAAATATTGCAGTGTTGCATTACTATTGCTGGACTATTGTTAAAGGCGGCATAAAAACTAACTCACTCATTACATTATTATTAATTAAAACATTATAAAAAACGACCTCTAGATCTATAGCTAGCGACCAAAGTTAGGCCACAATACTGGGGTCCGTTGGAACTTACGATACTTCTCCTACCTACATGGGCGGTAAGGTAGCCTAGTGCTTAAAGCCTTCGCTCGTCATGCCCAGAAACCGGGTTCGATGTGTGAAGCCCATTTCTGGTGTCCCATGCTGTGATATTACTGGAACATTGCTAAAAACGACACGGCGTAAACTAAACTCACTCACTCTGCTACATACACGGTTCCCCACACATTATTCAGGGTAAGTAACATTTACATTGTATAAGAAATTCAACTACCGTAAAGATTCGGTAAAACAACAAGATACTGCTACAGATACAAAGCAAAGCGTACATGATGATGTATCATGTGACAAGCTTGTAGTGCTTACTTGTGCGAGTACAGTGAGGATGTTTATCTGTCTTAATTGTTATCCGTTTGTGGGGTTGGACGGCAAGTCGCGCAGACTGATTAGGAATGTGGCATTTACATGGGTAAATATGGTAAACATTTGTAAAACTTCAAACGCAGCTTGAAATTTCATGATAATTTGGGTAAATACGGTAAAATATATCAATAAAAATTATTGCTATATGCCAACACTGAAAAAGAGGAAGAGATGATTGGCTGAGAGAAGTCTGATCGGATGATTATGGTAATGGGGATTTGGTTAGGCGGGGAATGTAATTGATTTCCTCTGATCATTCAGGATTACAACAGAATGGAGTACATTGTCACTGCACACAGAGCGAGATTTTGTATGCACTTTAGGTTTTGTCGTCTTTGTATACATAGATCATCTCACCCAAGTGTCTCCTGATATCAAATATATCAACACAAGTTGATTAAAGTTACAAATATCCGAGGCTTCCGTGTGCTGATATATTTGATATTAGAAGACACGAGGGTGACATTTTGTTTAGCGTCTAAAATCATTCTTCATCAGATATCGGTAAAAGAGTGAATTTATCTGAACACATTAAGCTTCTTGAGCAGTGCTCTCATGGAGGTCACAGCATTGTGACGTCATCAACTTTGTGATGTCATAGCATTGTCAGCTGTGTTCATAGTGATGTCAAAGCATTGTGAGGTCATTAACTGATGATGTAATAACAATGTAGCATTATGACAGTTCAACTTCTAGCGATATCTGATCCAATGTAGATATCGCTTGTAGATATTCACCTTTTATTCGGTGAATATCACATGTCCAAGTATTTTTTATTATGTACAAAAGTACTGAAAATACCGTTCTTCTGTGACTACAAAACACGATATATAAGCTTGAGTTTTCTGATAGCTTACGAGATTGAGTTTTAGTAAAATAGACAAGGAATCCCGTAAAAATTCAACATTTCAACGTTTTTAAAACATCACAGTTCAAATGGCACGATGTGTGCAATTAAAGCAGTGCGGAGTTAAAAGCCGTTTCCCAAATCTTTCAGCCACATATAATAAAATTGTTATATCAACCTCTTGCGACGTCGATATCAGTTCACTTGACGTGAGAAAAACAATATCAAAGGGCCTATCTAAGGGTGGAAATATACCCGTCATATAATAATTGTAGATATCACTTGATCTCACACAAGCGATATCTACTGTGGGAGCCAGTTTTGGGGATAAATGCTATTTATTGATGGCAGCAAGTACTGTTTTATAAGGACGAGATGACACATGGGCTGTGAACAGTTACCGTCCAAGTCTTGTCTTGAGAATGTCAGTTGACGTCTATACCAAGTTACTGCATGGTGGACAGTGACATGAACAGAGACGTAGACGGAGGCGACGAGGAGGAAAAGTAGACGGCGACGTAGGCGGTGGCGTGGGCGGTGAAAGTGTACATAGTGTTTCTGAAGAGATGACATTGTGCTTCGATGGACATTAAAATGTGCAGCAACTTTTAGGCCAGTCCTGGTTGAGTCATGCCTATTCGCATACAAAAGCCCTCTGCTGGAAGAAGGCAGCATTTATTTTTGAAGCGAGGAAATCATTTTCGCCATAAGTTCTATCTTTGTATCTTTCCCAAGATTCACGAAGTCTTCTTTATCCTCCAGATAAAAGTAATACTGGTGAGATCTAAGCCGGTAGTGTTTCATCTTCCTTATTGTCAGATCCTTGAGTTTTGGCATACCGTATTTATCAGCCAAATACAAAGCATGTAAAACATCTTTTTCTGCCGCACTGTCACAGAATATCGACAGAAATTCCTCACACCTCCGCTTTAGACCATCCATCTGATACTCGTCAGCTAGTTCCAGCATCTTGTCCACTGTTGCCTCGGTGACAGGGCGTAGTTCTGATGGGTAAATACACAGAAGCATGTCCACAATGTCAGCATACCTTTTTCCTGGGAGAGGGACTTCACGTTTCTGTGTTTCTTTAAATTTCCCATAAAACATCTTGTCAAAAACATCTGACGCTGTAGCAAGCACCGATCTGTTGACGTGAAGACGTCTGCCTTCCATAACCAGAGCAACATTAGTCTTGATAGACGGTTCGTCAAACACAGATGACCTGCAAAAACAGAAAATCATAAAAATGAGCCATTATATACTAGTATATTTTTTCAAAGTATTTAACATAACTCCGCCATGTACATTTCCAAACTACGGTGTTGATCAAAACATAGCTTCTTCCTCTTGTTGAATAATTAGCATAATGTCAACAATAATTTTGAGGTCAGTTTTGGGAAAATCACAAAGGTAAGTAATTAAATTGTGAAATTCAGGAAACTTACACTCACTTACCCACTTACTCCGATGTAAGTGTTCTTTCAGCTCGCTGTGTGAGCGCTAACGATCTCGTGGTGCAAATAGAATCGCAAAATATAATTAGAGTTCTTACTTAGTTCAGTTGCTGTATGAAATATTGAAATATCAGGCAAAGTGATGACAAGTTTACGTCACCCATCCACCCTTTTTTCAGGAATTAAGAATTATATTTGAATTCTAAAATGCTTCGCAGAAAGATCAAAGGCGCCACACTGTGCCATTCTCGTTCGCCCCCTTGTTGTGAAACGTATCCATGGTAATCGACGTCACGGTGCATGTCAGATGTCATCTGGAGTAGACTACTCCGTAGGACCCATTTCTTGGTTTGCAGTTGCTATATTCGGCGGAAACATCACTGGTGGAAACAATATGTATAACTTATTTCCACGGAACAATGGTCTCAGCTCGACTGGGCATTAAACAGCGGCACGGTCATGTTCGCTAACTAAACCTATGTCAACAGTCCCACAACGATCAGTATGTTGATTCTGAGGGTAAGTTTATTTTACAACTAACACAAAGATTAAAAGATATCTATTTGAAAGAATGGTTTGAAAAGATATCACTTTCCAGTAAATGTCTGTATTATAAGATGTTTAAATGTACTTTTGACTCCGAAACTTATCTTTCATGTCTAAACGTACAAAAGTATAGGATAGCGTTAAGCAGATTGAGATGTTCTTCACATGATTCATCTATCGAAAGTGGAAGATTTAAAAATGTCAAAAAAGGAAATAGAACTTGCAAACTATGTGATCTTAACCAAATAGAAGATGAATATTATTTTCTTTTAATTTGCCCTGCTTATAATTCCATCAGAAAGTTGTATATTAAGAAATATTATTGTGCCCATCCAAACCTTTATAAATTCTCAGCATTGTTGAATAACAAAACCCATACTATACTTCAAAACTTGTCCATGTTTGCTTACTATGCCATGTTGTTTAGGACAGAATATATCTCAGAACACAATGTACCCTAAAGTTGATTATTTTCCCTTCTTCATGTATATTATCCGTGCATGTAAATATTGATTTATAAATGCATTGTACTACAGGCCTCTGGCCTTTCAGTACCGGAAATAAATATACAACTAATGCATCAGTAGAATGTCGGGTGACTTGTCAGCTTCATCTGGATGTACTGATCTAAACATACCCTGGTAGTAGAAACGCGACGTTCATATCGCTCCATATGGTTTACGTTAATCCCAGATGTAATTAAAGTACTTCAGAGATATTTAACCCTAACGTAAACCGTCATCAAACTGTTTATCATTTGTTTCCCTGGTAACGTGCGTCGTAAGGTAGGATGCAAATATGTAAACAGAACAGCACGTCGGTTAGCCCTCAACGTGGATTGTTACTTTAGGTCACTGCCACCGTTTGTATGAGTTCTGCTTCGAATTAAGCGTCGGTCAGTATTAAACTTGTCTATAAGAAAAGAAAAGGAATCCAAATGCTGTTCGCTCTACCCCAATGTATAGTGTATTCTAATTCAACTTAGTATGTAACACGAGTTCTGATTGGTCAATGCTATAAATTTCCGACCGTATAATCAGCATACATGGTCGCAATTTGAAAACCGATTCACCGAAACCTTTGAATGTATCCCTACACTATTGGGGTAACGCTGTTTCGCAGGACATTGTCATTTGCAGAAGCCATTGGTCAATTAACTCCCCTATCCAGCTAAAATGGGTGGAATTTGTGTTAAAAAAGACAAAACAGTATCATAAATTTAATTTTAAGTTCAAACAACTTACTCGCAACGGGCTGTTGACCCAACACTGTTAGATCATGAAACAAGGTTTATGACGTCATTATGGAGCGTGACGTCACCTGCTATGACGTCATTTGACAACAGAACTGATAATGGCCCGTAGTTGAGGAATCAGCGGGCCGCTCATTTCTGTAATTAGAGGGCGGTTTCATCATAATACTGTCCATGTTATCTATAATTCTAATACATTCATCATTGTGAAATTTAGTCTGTGTGCACATAATAAACGTGTGTTTGAAAAGGGAACTACTTTCTCTGGCGATGGTGTAAGTTGAAAGAGTGATATCATTAACCTTTGACCTAGAGGAACTTTGACCTGGTTTAAATAATGAATTTCTTTCACGAAAAAACATCGTAAAACGAGTTGAATTAGAATGGGGATAACTGTACTGTGTTTGACGAATTGGGGACGTATACCGGTGCTTACGCGTCGCCGATATAACTAAATTTGCGGCTATATAACCACCGGTATACGTCCCCAATTCGTCAAACACAGTACAGTTATCCCCTAAATAAAGTACCATTTACCCTGAACAAGCGTCTGACTACTTTAACGTGTTAATAGTTCAGGGCAAAAGTGTACTTTATTACACTTAATATGGGGGTAGGACGAACTGTATTTTTAAAACTGAACTACTGAACTGTCCATTTTGTAACTCACTTCTAATGTGCTTATTGTTTCGCCATGTTTCCAAGTCCTGTGATATCATTTGAACCTACTTATCTGAAGTCGAATGCCTTGTCCTCAATGTGTTCACCAATGGGGTTAACACCACGCTCTGCTTCAATGACAAGGTGGCACCCCTTGAAGAGCAACCTCCTCGTGGTGGGTGCTGGGTAACGCTAATGGCTCTTCGCCCCCGTGTGGACCCGGGGTCGAATAGGTCCACAGCACCCCATTGCTGGTCGTAAGAGGCGATCAAATTGGGCAACCCGTTTGCCGTTGGTTGCATCCCTGTGTCGGCAGAGGAAGGGAGTCTGGTGGTTGAGGATGACGGAACCGGCAATAGTGTTCACTAATCCAACACACCACTTCGACCCTAACTTTGCCTAGACGGGTGGTAGAATAGGCCCGATTCTACCAATCGGCTGGTCACGCCTTGCCCTGTGCATGGAATGTCTATACAAAACTTGGTATCACATAACACTTTTGACCATGTTCAAAATGTTAACAAATATTCCACCAAAACAAACTAGCCTCGCAGACCCATGCACAGAAGGCGGTGGCTCACGGGCCAATCTGGTGATGCTGACCTCCGATTTCTGTACGTCTCCAATTGATTGTCAAGGACAGAACCATCCTGACCTTTAATCTGGTAGGCAGCTACAGCATTTCATGTCAAATTCGCTGGAGTATAACACCACCTTATCCCTGGTCTTTGCAGCTTGGAGACACGCTGCAGTATAAGATCGTCCTTGTTGACACTCCACGGTGGGTGGGGAGAGGGGATGCTGAACCACATTACTAACGACATGGCTTCCCAATACCCCGGTTCAAAACGAAGACACATGGATGATGACAATTCCTCGTCTGACGAGAGTACGCCCCTCCGACCTGACTACTGGCCACGTTTCCTGATCATTGAGGCTTGTGACAAGCAACCTTTGCAATTGAACCCTTTTGCAATCTCCAAAGGTATCGCTGGTGTCTGCGGAGAGGTTGCTAATGTTACAAAACTCCGATCTGGCTCTCTCCTGATAGAATGCACCCGGAAACACCAATCCTTGAATCTCCTCAAAATAAAAGAATTTGTCAACATCAAGGTCGCTGTCTCAGCACACAAAACCCTTAACTCGTGTAGAGGCATTGTACGGGACAGAGCTCGATGCCTGTCTGACATGACTGAAGAACAAATTGTCAAGGAACTCTCTCAGCAATCCGTCACAGCCGTCAAACGATTTACCTTCAAAAAGGATGGTGTTGTTCACCCAACGAACACCTATCTCTTCACATTCGCGCGAGCAAACATCCCTGACTCGATTAAAGCTGGTTATTGTAGCATTGGTGTGGAGGTGTAGTCCCCAATCCACTCCGGTGCTACAACTGCCAAAAGTTTGGACATGGATCCAAGTCCTGTCGTTCCTCTGCTGTCTGTTACCGCTGTGGTGACAAGCATGAGGGCAACGACTGTACTAAGGAAGTGAAGTGCACAAACTGCGGTGGTAACCATATGGCCTCTTCCAAGTTCTGTCCAGTATGGAAACGCGAATCTGAGATACTAAAGATAAAGCACAAAGAAAATATCTCCTTTCACGAAGCAAAGAAGAGGGTTGCAAGTCTAACTGCAGCCCCTTCAGCCATCACCTACTCTGCTGCTGTCTCCCGTCCTACCATCACTACTGCAACCATCTCATGTCAGACCGACCTGACATGGGTCACGTCTTCTAAGCCAACTGAACTCAACACAACTCAGCCTATCTCAGCCACTCCATCTCCAACGCCCAAAGTCAAAACCCCTGAATCACAAACACCAGAGCAAATGCCAAAACCAGAGACAGAAACTGCGCGCAGAAAAAGGGAAAAAAAGAGGCTAGAGAGACTAAAGCAACTCGAACAACCGCCAAACACAAAACCAAAGGCCACCTCTCCCTCAGAGGTCCCCATCGAGGTCCATAACTCCTTTGGCCCTCTGGATATGGAGGTAACTCCATCTCCACCAGACACCAATAAGAGTTCATCAAACGCTTTCTCACGTTCACGTGACATGTCACCAGTGGAAGCACCATGAATCCACAAAACATGATCCAATGGAATTGCAGAGGACTTAAGAATAATTATAATGAATTACAGTTATTGATTCAAGACTTCAAACCATCTGCGTTTTGTCTCCAAGAAACCTACCTAAAAAGGACCGATAAATTTGACATCCGTCACAGCCGTCAAACGATTCACCTTCAAAAAGGATGGTGTTGTTCACCCAACGAACACCTATCTCTTCACATTCGCGCGAGCAAACATCC